GACCAAGGCGGTGGTGCCACAGGAGAGTGTCGTGCGACAGCCGGCGACACTCACACTATGTAGCTACCTGAGCAGACGCGTGCAACCGGGGAGACAAAGGGGCGGAGCGTGACGCAGTGGTGAGGGTGTACAGACTGGACCCCGGCGCACGAGCGAACGTGGCCAGGTGGCGACCAGTCTGGGAGCACGTGCAAATCGCCACACGCTGCCGGCCAGGGGTGAAGGTGTCAACCCCCGCATCCTGGAGGACAGCGTTACTCACCAAGTTCGTAGAGAACGAGGGGAGGTGGAGACCAGACAGCTCACCAGACGGGACCGCCGGACACGGAAGCACAGTGGAAGACCGTGCAAGCACTGGGCCCCCAGAGGGGTCAGCCAGTGAGACAGGAACAGGTGCAGGGAGGGGAGTGACTGTGGTACTGTCGCGAAAGAAACAGCGGGAAGCACCAGAGTCAAGTGTCAAGGTGTGCAAAGCCTGTGCAGGCGCAGTACCAAGGGGAGCAGACTCACAAGCACCTAGTGCTGCAGGGGCTATACCAGGGGTTATACCAGGATCCGGCGGCACACACAAGTAGCAGTCACCCTCAGCACTAACAGACAAGGCATACATAGCAGTGAGAATAGCAGCATAGTCAAGAGCATATATATCTACCCTCTGCCCAAGCAGCTCCACCCAGTCGGGGAGCTCAGCCTCGTCGCCAAACTCGGTACGCCAGGCGTCACTCAGATGGGCGAAGCAGCGGGACTGGGTGTGACTAAGCGTCCCACAAGTCTGACCCGTCCGATCTCCTGTGCGAATGACGTACGGGCAGCGAACGGTACTCAAAGACCCTCTACTCTGAGCGTACCACTCGTGAAGCTGCTGGGACGTAAATGTCTTGCGTGGACGCGGCTGCAGCTGCAGCCGGCCACCGCCAGACGTGCCCAACTGACCAGCTCTAGGGCGACAGCTACGACGACTACCGCCACAACCCCAACTAGCGTACCACTCACGAAGCTACTGGGGCGTGAGAGACTCGCGCGGACGTCGCTGGAGCTGCATCTGGCCACCGCCAGCACCAGTAGCAGTAGCCTATCAGAGCAGGCGCGGCAGGCAGACAGGCAGGCAGGCAGGTAGGTAGGCAGACAGGTAGACAGGCAGGCAGGCAGGCTGGCAGGCAGGCAGGCAGACAGGCAGACAGGCAGGCAGGCAGGCAGGCAGGCTGGCAGGGTGGCAGGCAGGCAGGCAGGCAGATGGCGCGGCAGCGCGCTAACAAGGCAGGTGCTCACCAGTGTCGGGTAGAGCAGGCACTCGCCGGGCGAGCAGGGCCGGCGCTCGGCGGGCGGCTGCACGGGGTCCAGGGGCGGCGTCGCGGGTCCAGGGGCGGCGTCGCGGGATCCAGGGGCGGCTGCACCAGGGGCGGCTGCTCTGGGTCCAGGGGCGGCTGCTCGAGGGTCCAGGGGCGGCTGCACCAGGGGCGGCTGCTTCAGGGGCCAGGGGCGGCTGCTCGGGGTCCAGGGGCGGCTGCTCGAGGGGCGGCTGCTGCAGGGGCCAGGGGCGGCTGCTCTGGGTCCAGGGGCGGCTGCACCAGGGGCGGCTGCTTCAGGGGCCAGGGGCGGCTGCTCTGGGTCCAGGGGCGGCTGCTCGAGGGGCGGCTGCTGCAGGGGCCAGGGGCGGCTGCTCTGGGTCCAGGGGCGGCTGCTCCAGGGGTGGCTGCTGCAGGGGCCAGGGGCGGCTGCTCTGGGTCCAGGGGCGGCTGCTCGAGGGTCCAGGGGCGGCTGCTCGAGGGGCGGCTGCTGCAGGGGCCAGGGGCGGCTGCTCTGGGTCCAGGGGCGGCTGCTCCAGGGGCGGCTGCTGCAGGGGCCAGGGGCGGCTGCTTCAGGGGCCAGGGGCGGCTGCTCGGGGTCCAGGGGCGGCTGCTCGAGGGGCGGCTGCTGCAGGGGCCAGGGGCGGCTGCTCTGGGTCCAGGGGCGGCTGCACCAGGGGCGGCTGCTTCAGGGGCCAGGGGCGGCTGCTCTGGGTCCAGGGGCGGCTGCTCGAGGGGCGGCTGCTGCAGGGGCCAGGGGCGGCTGCTCCAGGGGTGGCTGCTGCAGGGGCCAGGGGCGGCTGCTCTGGGTCCAGGGGCGGCTGCTCGAGGGTCCAGGGGCGGCTGCTCGAGGGGCGGCTGCTGCAGGGGCCAGGGGCGGCTGCTCTGGGTCCAGGGGCGGCTGCTCCAGGGGCGGCTGCTGCAGGGGCCAGGGGCGGCTGCTCTGGGTCCAGGGGCGGCTGCTCGAGGGTCCAGGGGCGGCTGCTCGAGGGGCGGCTGCTGCAGGGGCCAGGGGCGGCTGCTCTGGGTCCAGGGGCGGCTGCTCCAGGGGCGGCTGCTGCAGGGGCCAGGGGCGGCTGCTCTGGGTCCAGGGGCGGCTGCTCGAGGGTCCAGGGGCGGCTGCACCAGGGGCGGCTGCTTCAGGGGCCAGGGGCGGCTGCTCTGGGTCCAGGGGCGGCTGCTCGAGGGGCGGCTGCTGCAGGGGCCAGGGGCGGCTGCTCTGGGTCCAGGGGCGGCTGCTCCAGGGGCGGCTGCTGCAGGGGCCAGGGGCGGCTGCTCTGGGTACAGGGGCGGCTGCTCGAGGGTCCAGGGGCGGCTGCTCAAGGGGCGGCTGCTGCAGGGGCCAGGGGCGGCTGCTCTGGGTCCAGGGGCGGCTGCTCCAGGGGCGGCTGCTGCAGGGGCCAGGGGCGGCTGCTCTGGGTCCAGGGGCGGCTGCTCTGGGTTCAGGGGCGGCTGGACCAGGGGCGGCTGCTTTAGGGGGGGGGGGGGGGGGGGGGGGGGGGCAGGGGCGGCTGCTGCAGGGGCGGCTGCAGCAAGTAGCAGCAGCGGCAGCAAGTAGAAGCAGCAACACAGGCGCAGTGCAGCGTGTAGGCCTGGCGTGGGCTGTACTGGCCGCGTGCGGGCCTGACGTGGCCTGTACGGGCTGCGCGAATGCCTAGCGCGGACTGTACGGGCCGCTCTCGGGCCTGACTCGGCCTGTACGGGCTGCGCTAACGCCTAGCGCTGACTGTACGGGCCGCGTGCGGGCCTAACGTAGGCTATACGGGCCGCGCGCGGGCTGTACGGGCGGCGCGAAGGCCAGACGGGGGCTGTACGGGCTGCTCGCTGGCTACGCGCGACAGGACAGGGCAGGGCCGCGGGGCAGCGAAAATCGATGCACCTAAGGGCGCATTTCGGGCAGAAAAAAGCAGAGAACGAGATTCGGGCAGGAACACGGAAGGTTTAACGGTGGGCCCTAAAAAAAAAATCGTCCTAGGCTAGGAACGTCCTAGCTCTTAATACCATGTTAGAATCTTACGGGAAAGTTGTGTGTCGACTATGGAAAGGGAAAGATACAAAGGAGAAACCTAAGGGGTTGTACCCCACAGTGAGTACCCCACTAAGCCTAACCAAACTATAACAAATATACACATATGTTTGACAACTGCTCAGTATCGAGTCAGTTATGTGTCCTTGCTGTCGCACTGTATTTTTCGTCGAGTCAAAGATCAGCGACCTTTGACCTTCACGTAACCTCCAGCAGTTGCTTTTGTTGACTCGTGTTGCTTCACTGTAGTCTGCTTCGTTTCGTGTCGATACTTTGATACTTTAGAAGCGTTTAAGTTACTTGTTTCCAACACTCCCCTTCGCTTCTGGAGTATCGCTGCTGATGACGTGTCCTTGTCCAGTCAGCAGCATGCAGTACTCAAACTTCTGTTTTCCGAGTTTCTTGGTCAAGTAATCGGCTGCCATGATGTGTGGCATGGCATGGCTTACAGTACATATTAACAGTTTATTTATGTGGCTGTAACCCTTCACCATATACTGCAAATCATATCATCTGTACCGTAAATCCATATTGCGGTACATATATGTAGGTGTATAATTTTAGAAACCATACAGCAACTCTATCACATGGTCAACCCTTGGTGATATGCTGTAACCTATACAGCGGAACAGCAGGTGATGGAAAAAACCCACTAAATGAGGACCAGCAGTGCTGCTGCTGGCTATTATTGGGCATATTAGCCTGAAGACCTATCTCACAATCCAAGGCCAAACCAATCTTGAGACTCCTTTGCTCCCCAGAAGTCAAACCAATACCCTCACTCTTGTTGGCAAAAGTTAGCCGGGCTGCATCCTCAGAGCACCGCGTTCCTTCGCCATTCAAAGCAGCGCCATTGGGCACACCTCTTATGTCGGGTCCTCCTTGACCGTTCAACGGGTCGCCGTTCACAGCATCGCCATTTGACGCGCCACCATTCGAAGCATCGCCACCGCCATTTCCACTTTCACTGCCACTGCCACTGCCACTGCCACTGCCTGGCATACCATGTCTGACTGCAAGAGACAAGGTCAGGGTGATTTCCTCACACCCAAAAACAGCCTCCTTCTGCTTCTCCTGGTTGCCACACCCCTGCACCTGTTTCCGAGCCTGCGCGTGAGCTTCGGTGCCAGCCTCGGTGCGGGCCTGGGACGGCCCTGGTTCGGCAGCATGCAGGCGAGAGAGCAGGTCCAGCTCAGAGAGGCTAGGTGCTGATGTGTCACATGATGGGAGGGGAGGTGTTGTAGCAGCAGCCAGGACTTGTAGCTGGGCTGTAGCAGCAGGTATCAACCCTCCTGGGTAACACTCGTGCTCCTGCTGCTGCTGCTGCTGCTGCTGCTCCATGCGAGCCGGATTTGTGACTCCAGAGGCTCCCGAATCCGATCCCACCTGAGATTCCACCTGAGGCTTCACCTGAGCTATCACCTGGCCAGGCCAAGTGGGGCAGGCTTCGTGGCTTCCTAGAGCCTGCAGAGTCAAGCTCTCACAGTGCGCATCACTTTGACTTTTGAGAGACGAGCTCTTGCTGAGTCTGCCAGTTGGACTCTTGGGAAATGAAGTTGAAAGGAGTGTGCTGCTTTGACTTCTGAGTGGGGGTGGGAGTGAGCTGCTCTGTCCGATGACTGGTGTGCAGGAGGATTGTGAGTAAAACTGTTTTCTAGTCGACTCAGGAAATGAGCTGTCCTGCATGATTACTGGAGAGCAGGAGGAGCGTGAATGGAACGGCGATGACACAGCAGGGTGCGGCGGATGTAGCAGGGAGTTTGGTGCAGTGGGGTACGGCAGCTGTAGCAGGGAGTTCGGTGCGGTGGGTTGCGGTGGCTGTAGCAGGCAACCTGTTGAACTGCAGAGTGGAAGACGAGGTGGGGTGGGGAATGGTGGAGCGAGAGGGAAAGCAGGAGGGGGAGGGAAAGCTGGAGGGGCAAGAGGAACTGTTGGATAGACCAGGGATGGCGACATAGCAAATGGAGGAGGAAGAGGAGGAGGGACAGCAGTGGGAGGCGTGCTGAAGAGATGGGCGTGGAAGGGAGGAGCGTTGGATGGAGGATTGGCGGATTGAGGCGCATGAACGCTGCTGTCTTGATGCACAGTGGTGGCAAGACCGCCACCGCCGGAACCACCGCTATTGGTGGTGCTGGTGGGCTGGGCGGGCGATCTTGGCACGACCCTCATCTTGCCGACCTTGAGGTGAGCTGCACACAGGGCACACAACATGGGTGGAAAGAGGAGATGGGGAAAGGACGGGGTGAATGGGTTTTTTTGTTTTTGTTTTTGTTTTTCCTTTTTTTTTTAGGTAAGAAAACACAGAAAAAAAAAACAAGCAATACTAAAACAAAACATTAACAAAGCAAAAACAAAACACTATCAAAGCAAAAACAAAACAAAACAAAGCAGAGCTAGAGTGCTGCGAGCATGCTATCAGTTGGGGCGAATGCTTGCAACCTGATTGCACCACTCCGGCTCCTGCTGATTGCAAACCACCTACCCCAACCTGATTGGAACATTGTCACACGTTGCACCCCCCCAATCAGCGTGTGCTATACCTGAGCAGTTGGGATTGACGATCACTTCAGTCAGTGCCCCCTTCACTTGCTCTAGCTTGCGCTTCCTCTGCTTGTTGGGAGAGGGGATGGGGAAAGAGGGGAGAGGGGGAAAAGGGGAAAGAGGTGGGAGGGATGACACACAGTGACTGAGCAGACGCGCACGACAGGAGCAGCGGGGATCAGCTTGGGTCTACGATCACTTGAGCTAGCTGTCGCCTCACAGACCTTGCCAATCGATTTCTGTCGAACTTCACGATGGGCGGCGACAAAAAAATAATAAAAAAATCGCTGGAATATAGAAACCCCTGGGAAGCAGATCTTGAGACCTTCACAGACCTTGAGAGCAGATCCGCTTACCTCCTGGGCTTTGGCAATCGCTCGGCTCTTTGAAGCCCCTGCTGCTGCTGCTGCCGCCGCCGCCACTGCTGCTGCCGCCTCTTCTGTCATCCCCGCTACAGGCTGCTCCACTAGAGCCACGAGCAGCCTGTCGAGTTTGCGAACCTGTAAACCAAGCGACAGGGAGGGCGGGCTATTGTGAGGTTCTTGCGATGATGATGAGAGGACGACAGGGAAGGCGGGTTGTTTGGCTGCGTATGCTAGTCGACTCAAAATATGCATGCGGATCATGCTACAGACAAGGCTAGAGCTAGTACTACTAGCAGAGTTATTTGTAGTATGTGACATTGATGAGACGATGTGAGGCCGACAGCGAGGCGGTTGTTACCTTTCGAAAAGGCCAACGGATAATGCCGTAGTCGCGACACTGCTGCTTCAGAACTGTCGCGCACACACCCATCTGCATCATCAAGTTCCCCCGGGCCCATCATGAGAGGAAAGCGGAGAAGGGAACGTGAGCGAAACGAGACTATGGCGACAGACGAGGTCGGGGAGGCACCGAGGAGCCCTCTGGGAGCAACACAAGTCACGGAAACCGTGTTGCGACGGCTAGACGAGCCCCCCCCCCCCCCCTTTTCCAAAAAAAAAAAAAAAAAAAAAAAAAAAAACGGCCTTGAGTGTATGCAGCGTGTACTGAGAAAAGTGATGGCCACGTGGCAGTGGTACTACCTTGGCGGCGGCATCGTTGATGGGCATGTGGAAGTGCGCTTTTGTGAGTTGAGTCAACTCAAAAGTCACCTTGCTAACTCGTACTGACAATGATCGTACTATCATCAGTGCGGGTAGTAGTACCTTGGCGGCGGCATCATTGATGGGCATGTGGAAGTGCGCTTTGATCTCGTCCATTGGAATGATTCGTGATCGAGCGGAGGAGGGAGCACGCGGAACCTGCCACAGCACGACGGCAGAAGAGCAGGCTTTTAGCAAAGAGAGTGGCGACTCTTGAAAGACCGACTCGTGTACGAGTCGTCACACCGTACGGAAGGCTTTTGAAGTACTAGAACGCTCTAAGAAGAAATGGCGGCGCGGTTTAAAGTGGGCGTGTTTAGACGCCGCGTCTGAACTCACTCGTGCTCGTAGCGCTCCCGCGACAAAGCCCATCGCCGTCACGGGGTTGCGAGTTCTCAGAACCCAACACCGTCATCGTTCCCGTACCCGTTACCACCAGGGACAACGAAAGGTTCCGTTGGGCGGTTTAGGTGGCTGTCACTGAGACCTGTGAACTCACCCTCGTGCTCGTGGCGCCGCGCCAAAGCGCGTCGTCGTCACGGTGTTGTGAATTCGAGTCCGATCCCATCACCGTCACCGTCACCGTCCCCGTCACCACCAGGGACGACGAAGGTTCCGACTCGGAGTCCCGGTTTGCCATGGCCTGCCGCTGCCGCGGCGAATCCCAGTCGCCGCCGCTGCCGCCTCCACCGTCGCCGAGGCTATGCGAGTCATGAGGTGGAGACTTAAAGGCCGAGCCGCAGTGGTAGCCCTCGCCGTGGCCGCCGCCGCCGCATCCGCTTGGTGGACAGGTGAGCGTTGTCATTGGCTGGCACATTCTACGTTGCGACTCGACGAGAATCCTCCCCCACAAACGGTGCGATGACCCGGCGGCGGCAGCACCTGAGGTGTGCCGCAATTGGCAGAGGAAAAATACGTCACGAACTCTTTGGACGAGGGAAGCTAGGAACCGATATCAACGGATCGCGTCGGGTGCGACAACGTTTATAAACTGACTTGGAGTATCTTACTAGATAGAGAGTGAGAGAGAGAGAGAGCACTAGGGGCTGACGATGGCGCAATGCGATGAACCGGCAAGATGGGCCTGAGAATCAAAGAGTGCAGATCTGAATCGAGGCTGAACATATCATATCACATTGCCTCGTATCCCACGATGGGGATTGTGGGCCTTGTTCGATAGCCAACGGGAACGGGAACGGTGTGGAGTGGACTGTCACACACCGAAGGTGACTCGCCATCGGCGGATGGAGGGAGAGGCACACGCACCGGCGCACGCACAACGAAGATGTCTCATGGTGCTGTTCAATCTCTACTCCGGCGGTGGTGAGTCACCTCGAACAGCCAATAGTGATGAAGCTTGAAACCCTCATGAAGGTCCGCTTGCACTGTGGTGCAGATTATGCGGAAAGTGGTCTGGGGGAGGGAACGGGTGCGACGAATATGGTCTGGGGACGGCGGGTGCGTGCGACGATCGTCTGGTCCAGGGTCGGATATTTTTTGTTTGACACTGTTCACGTAGGAATTGGAGAGCCTCTGAGGGGCCAATGGTGGTGCTGAATGAGACCCTGATGTGAGCAAACGATAGCTTCTTGGGGAGGGGGATAAGGGAACTTTGAAAGGAGGGCGAGTGGGGGGAAAGGGGTGGCAGGGAAGAAGGGGAGAGTGGGGAGGCGGAAGCGGAGGGGACGAGGCATGCAAGACATGGGAGCGTCCGCCAACGTGAAATAATAATTTGGGTGCGAGAGAGAGAAGCGGAAAAATGGAGCCAGGATATGGTGCACATGTACATGTGATCTTGGGGGATGTGACGTGACAAGGGCGCGTCCCCTCACTCGATCGATCGCGAGATCGCCGTGAAAAAACCGATCAGGCACACCGATCGCAGGATTGGGGTGGGATTGGTAGGAGGTGACAATCGGGGACCGATCCCGAGCCCAAGGTGACAGGTTCGAAAATACAAGGGGGAAAAAAATCTCGATCCTACAAAAGCCGAGATCGGTGTGGCAACGAAGGCACATCGATCGTCATCAGCGGAGGTAACAAGATCGTTGGGCACCAGTTACTGTATTTTCGCAAGCCATCTCGATATCAGGTTACCTTGTCAATTGCGACTTTGTAGCTGTACCTCGATCGATCGAGGGCAGGATCGATCGAGGGATGAGACGCGCCCTAAATGTGATGTACGGAGGAAGAGATGGAGATGATGGGGGAAGATGGGATGGGAGCGGAACAGTGACGAGAGCTCGCGAACTCTGGCGAGGAGTACACTTTTTCGTGTTTCCAGTTCGCAACCTGTCTCCCCCAATCTTTTTTCCGACCGTCACTGCTTCTCGTTGCGACCAGCAGACATGCGGCTCGCTGGGAAAATCTCGCTGACTTCAGGGAAATCGTGAGAGCTTCATGACTCCCACACGATTCGCACATTCTTCCCCACATACCTCTGCAGAGATTTGTCGCATCGCCCCGGAAACGCGAGTTGGAGGTCACGTCCACGCATGCAAGTCACCGAAGGGACGAGAGGGACTCGTGAGTGGTGATTGGACTGTTTTCCACAATTGACGGACCTTGGGCTGAGCTAGCAACATCATAGGAAGTTTCTGTTTCCACTGTATCTTGTGCGTGTGTGCTCGTACTATTTTGGCTGGATCTTGCAACTGCACTTTGCGACAACACTTTGGCGGTGGTAAGGTACAGTAATCGAAGACATCAGCATTTCAACAGCCATGCTGGCAGATGAGCTGCTGTCGACAACAATAATACGTACTTGTACAGTACATGTTGCACATGTCAAACGAAACTGTACCTTGCTGGCGTTTCACTAGCACTCTGACAAGTCTCACACGCTTGTCGGGTCAATTACTTTTGACGAGCTGGCAGCAGCCAACTCGGCATGATAGTTACAACAGCCTGCCAACTTGTGATCGTTGCAAGTCAACGAGACTTCGTTTGACGGGAAAATGCTGCCCGCAATGAGAGTACAGTGTGAAAACCATTACAAGCCCCACGCGTTATCATGTCACGTTTGAAACACAATACGGTACGAAACTTCCTTCCGTTAACACATATCAATCTACTATCACGGCCCCAGAAACGGAGACCTCACTCCCAGGAATAAGTAATGGAGCAACAAGAACCCAAAGATAAACAGCTCCTGAAAACCACATAATCCCCATTTTCACCCAAGTGCTAGCCCAGCCTGTATCCAAGCTCCATTGGGCTGGGTTCTGTTTTAAATCCCACCCAATAAACAGCATTGTCATATACATGGTTCCTGTTAAAAACACAAAATGGTAGAACCCATGCCCGTACGACACTTTTCCGTTCCCCGCACCCTCCACGTCCTCGCCGGAGTCTGGATGGAGCGAGATGCACCGCCGGTCGATTCCCACGGTGTAAACGGAAACTAAGATCGTGAGGAGAGCAAAAATGAAGGCCTGTTAGGGTCAACGAGCATGCGAGCGGGCGGAAGAGACAGTTAAAGGTCAAGAACAACGCCGAAGAGCCGCTGTATCAGGGCATAAGCGTTCATACTTCAGCACTACCACGAGGTCAGGACGGAATTGATTATGAGGAGAGAAACTAAGATTGGTGTGAATGCTGTTGAGGCGCCTCAAAAGTCGACCATTCTTCAGCACTGCTGGGACGTTCAGATGGAAGTGACAGCACTGAACTCACCATAACATCTGTCCATGTTGTTTGTCCTGTCTGCCTCGGGCGTGTGTTGCACGTCTCCCCGGGCGGCTCGCTCATGATTGCTGACCAGCAGAGGAAGACAAAATACACCGCCATTACTCCCGTGCTCAGAAGTCCCGTGGATTCGACCTGCAGTCGATCAGACGGGGGCAGGGGGCACAAGGGTGAGGACAAACGAGGGGGAGGGTGGGCACGGGCGAGGGAGGAGAAGGGCGAGGGCGAGCAAGAGAGAGGGCGAACAACGACGAGGGTGAGGGTGAGGATTAGCACGAGAATATGTGAAGAGGAAAGCCAAGGGGGGAGAAATACTCACGACTGGAAGGAGGCAGACGAGGGTGAGGAGGATGACGAGGATGAGCAGCGAGGAGATGAAGAAGAGGTTGAGCGAGCAGGAGAAGGAGGGCACAAAGAAGAAATACATGAGGGCCGCTGCTGCTGCCACTACCACGTAACACACTCCGGTTACAACTGCTGCCAACACGTGCCTGAGTGGTGGGAGGAAAGGGAAAGAAGAGGCTGAGCGAGCAAGAGAAGGAGGGCACGAAGAAGAGATACATGAGCGCTGCTGCTGCCGCCACTGCCAGGTAACACACTCTGGTTAACACTGCTGCCGACACGTGCCTGAGTGGTAGACATGTTGGGGGAGGGGAAGAGAGGGGTTGGGGTGGGGGGCAAGAGTGGGGGGCGATAAAGAAGGAAGAGGGGAGGAGGGGATGAAGAAAAGGTAGATGAGTGTCGCTGCTGCTGCAATTGCCATGTAACATGCTCTGGTTACCACCGCTGCCAACACATGCCTGAGGGCGTTGGGGAAGAGAGGGGGTGGAGAGGAAGGAGGGAGTAGGGCAGGCAGAAAGACGGATACATGTAGGCACGCACGTGCTGCTACCACTGCCAGGAAACAAGCTCCGGCTATCACCGCTACCAACATGTGCCTGTGGGTTGGCGAAAAAGGAGAGGGGGGGGGAGGGGGGGGGGGGGGGTGTCAGTCAAGAAAGCAGGAAGCAACAAAGGTGATGGGAAGGGGAGGTAGAACGGTTACAGAGGGGCCTCAAGTTAGCTTTCCTACTGGGAGCAAGAAAAGCGAGAAGGATGGAACACGGGAGGGAAATTAAAGGGACGCTATAGGTCAAGGAAAGGTAGAGGTACAGGCACCGCAAGGAAGAGGTGACTCCTGAGGTGACTCTTAAAATGATATTTGACTGGAACCTTACGAGGGGGATCCTTTTGAGGCGCCACAAAAGTGATCTCAAGAGGGGGGGGTCTTTACAGATAGTGGGTCTGCTTTTCAGTCGACATTTTCTTTTCCCTACGAAAACACTCATTTCACCTACTCCGGTGTCATAAACAAGTAAATTGCTGCCACGCATTGAACCATGGCCTCTCAATGGGGCTCGATTGGTCTTTACAGATAGTGGGTCTGCTTTTCAGTTGACATTTGAGTCGACTCAAAAGCAGCCTCAAAAGTCACCTCATGAGGAGGACCCTTAGACATAGTAGGACTGCATGAGGGAGAGAGAGCACGATGGCATAAGGGCGCGAGAGCCTGAGGCTGTGAGGGCACAAGGAGGTCGCCACCTCTGGATAGTTGAGTTCTGAGACGCCAATTGCCCTCACGGCCTCAGACGCCAATTGCCCTCACGGCCTCAGACGCTAACTCGAGCATGCAATGAGCGCATGATTGCACCGAGTTGACTTTTGAGTCGACTCAAAAGGAGGTCGCCACATCTGGACAATTAAGTTAAACTCCTTATGCCCTCACGGCCTCAGAGACCAATTAACTTGAGCATGCACTGAGCGCATGATTTGCGAGGGTGTGAGGGTGTGAGGTGACTTTTGAGTCGACTCAAAAGTCAAAAGTCACCTCGTTACAATGGCACACGACACTTTTTTTGAGTCGACTCAAAAGTCACCTCAATTAACTTGAGCATGCACTGAGCGTATGATTGCGAGGGTGTGAGGGTGTGAGGACGGAAGAGTGTGAGCAGCTTGAATTCATCCCAATCCAACGGAAGCTCACCATGTCTTGTTTGCCTGCCACGTGTCATTCCACACAAAGACGAAGTTCAGCATGCTGACAAGCTGGATAACGACAAAGATCACCGCCCCCACCACAGCCACGTAGCCGTATATTCTCAACACGCCTGCACAGAATGGCAGAGGGGAGAAGGCCGAGGATACGTCTATCATACGGTCTAGGCAGGTACTAGTAGGGTAGTGGGTATCCTATGAGCATACCCTACCAAAATAAAATCTTAACCTTGCATACATGATTTTAAATGCATTGAACCGTCAGTTACCGCGCTTGACTGTTTTTGCTCACTAGTTCAAGGCACCTACCTAGGGGAAGAAAGACTGTCATGCCAAGCAATGCCACCCAGAGCAGCAGCTTGGGCGGCCACCAGCCGGAGTGCCACGTGTCACGGGCCCCGCCGTCCACGCGCGCCCCCGTGGTGGTTGCAGACATGAGGGCGAAGAATAGCGACATGCCAAGCCCCGTGCACAGGACCACGGTCGCTGCTGTGCATGCCTTGTCACCCGGTTGACATGCCTTGAAGCCTGTCAGTAGAGGGTAAAGCAGTCATGTGGTGAGAGGCATGGGGGCGAAGAAGAGCGACATGCCGAGCCCCGTGCACAGAACCACTGTTGCTGCTGTGCATGCCTGGTCGCCCGGCTTGCACTCCTTGAAGCCTGTGGTCGGGGGGAGGGAGGATAACTGTGTAGTCAATATTTACATTGGACATGGGGGTGAAGAAGAGCGACATGCCGAGCCCCGTGCACAGAACCACCGTTGCTGCTGTGCATGCCTTGTCGCCTGGCTGACATGACTTGAAACCTGTGGGCGTGACGGGGATGATGATTGTGTAATAGATATCCACTACTTCAAACATGGGGATGAAGAAGAGGGATATGCCGAGCCCGTGCAGAGAACCACCGTCGCTGCTGTGCAAGCCTGGTTTCCAGGTTGACATGACTTGAAGCCTGTGGGCGGGAGGGAGGTAGATTTTGGAAAGTGGATATGTGTTACTTGAGACATGGGGGCAGAGAATAGCGACATGCTGAGCCCCGTGCACAGGACCACGGTCGGTGCTGTGCACGCCTGATTTCCTGGCTTACACTCCTTGAAGCCTGTGAGGAGGGGGGAAAAGGGGGGGCATCCACGCGCGCCCCCGTGGTGGTTACAGACATGAGGGCGAAGAATAGCGACATGCCGAGCCCCGTGCACAGCACCACGGTTGCTGCTGTACACGCCTAATCGCTCGGCTTACACTCCTTGAAGCCTGTGGGAAATATGGGGGCGAAGGGAGGGAAGTAAATGCATTTGAGCTTATTCGAGAGTCAGAACGACATCTGGTCGCTAGGCTTGCACTTCTTGAAATTTGCTGTGATCAGGAGGGGGAGAGGGAGGGAGGGAGGGAGGGTGGGAGGGAGGGGAGGGAAAGAGGAAGGGAGGGGAGGGAAAGAGGGAGGGAGGGGAGGGAAAGAGGGAGGGAGTGAGTGAGTGAGGGAGGGAGGGAGGGAGGGAGGGAGGGAGGGAGGGAGGGAGGGAGGGAGGGAGGGAGGGAGGGAGGGAGGGAGGGAGGGAGGGAGGGAGGGAGAAGAAGAAAATGAGCGACAGTGACCACGATTCGAGCCCATGGTTCAGATGGAAGGACATTCTTTTCACTGGGTAGATATATGAGCGCGGCATGACTCACTACAGCACGAGCCACTATAAATCGTAACGCCTTACTACTCACTGGGTAGATGCTTGAGATCTGTTAGACGAAGTCCCGCAAGCACCACACGAGGACTGATTCGCTGTAGCACGACTCAGTATTCTTAAAAACGCGGCACTACTCACTGGGTAGGTGCATGAGCGCGGTATGGCCGAAGTCCCGCAAGCACCACATGAGGACGAGCGCGAGGAGGAAGAGGAGGCCATAGATATACTTGGCGACGCGCCGTGACGTTCCCAGAGAGCACGCCGCGCAGCAGCACGAGCCGAGCGACTCGCAACATTGCGCGCAGCAGCACGCGCAGAACATTCTCGTGGCAACGGCCACAGCGGCACGAGTGATCAAAAGTTGGGAACAATCGAGTTCTAAGAGGAGATGAGATATAAGAGGGACTGAGTTTAGAAGACTGGCGATTGCGACACGCCTGCGAGCGCGGGAGCGACTTTAGAGCACAGCGAGGAACGTGCAACAGTGAGAAGAATGCGTTCCTGACTAGATTCCGCCAGATTATATTTGCACTCGAATTTGTGCGCTAGAAGCTGGAGGGTCCCTCTTTGTTCGAAAGGTCGTAATTAGTGAAATGCATCACCGTCGCGAGCGGAGAAGAGCGAGACAGTACTCAGATCAATTACTACGTTGAACCGACTATGTTTCCTGCTAGTGCTGTTTGTGAACTTGAACCTCGTCCCTGTATTCATTCAATACGACTGGTGGTGATTCGACCATCAGGCAATCGGCACTGTCTGCGCGGTTCGAACAAAATCCTGGCCTGGCAATTATTGTTGGGTGGTGTGTCGCTTTCAAAGGTTCACCTAGATGATCGCAATATACACTTCTCACACAAAAACCAGTATGTAAAACAAGACTTCCATGAAGGCGAAATCTCTCCCTTACCGCGTCTTGCGGAAGGGCTTGTTTGTTCAACCAACCGTGAAAAGGCTAATGTAATGGGTCTGTACAGCGCCCATATGCAGTAGTGCCGTACTTTCTAACGGAGCGCCGGAGGGTCGCTTATTATACGTCGCAATGGTGGCGATCACTGGTTCCGTGGACGTGGTAGTCGATGTTCCGATGCATATGCGCGACGTGCGATGGTTGCGTCGCCCTTTGTCAAACGTGGCGAGCCCATCCATACCGCCAATTCCACCTTTGTAGCCCCGCTCCGTCGTTTCACCGTTGATCGTGCATGTCGAGAGTACCAGTGTTCGCCATGTGGCGGTGTTTGATCGGTGTTTCAGCCCCTCTCCTTCAAGACTGTTTCGACCACAGGAGGTAACCGCTTCGTGAAACCTCGTGTGCCTCGTTCACATTTCACTCTGTTATGTATCCCCAGCTTTATCAACCAAGACGGGGCTCAAAGCTAGGGAGATTAGAGAAGCTCTCTAAACCTAGAGAACAGTTTCCTAGTTCATCATAGCCGTAATTCAGCTGGACTAGCATGAGCTATGCCTTTCCAGCATCATGTGTCCTGTCTGTGAGAATTTCGTAGCAGATGGAAAATGCTTATTTTTCATAAGCCCACGGAGCTTATGTCAGTGTTAGGTTGGATACAATAGGTTGGATGCAAGAGGATCATTGTTAATTTGAGGTGTTCTTATCTAGGTTCCAGTCATACGCCTGGAAGAGCCTGGAAGTTCATCGTTATCAGATGGAGTCTCAGCAGCATTTTTGCGAGTTGCTTCGGTGCGCTGCGAACATCCACGAAAACGTTAGCGACGCGATCGAAAGGAGCCTGCAAAGCGATTTCATTTTAGCGACGTCAGCGTCTGCTCCGTTAACTGCACGATCATGGTAAGCCACGCACGCGCAATCATGTCACGTCTTATTCAAAAATTTACACTTGCTGGTAATTGTTTTCTTGTCATCCTACAAGCATCATGGTATGATGATAAACATGTTCTAATTCAGTTTATTGCACTTCAATCCACTCATCACATAGTCGCGTCATTGATGTATCGTCCTTTTTTATTCCCGTTTATCTCTCCATTATAGGTCAAGCCAGCTAGACACGACGTCAAGCACCACACACCCTGATTCACATCAACCTGCACACGAGAACCTCAAGCAAGCTCAAACCCGAACTCATAGAGACGTCTTCAGCTCGAGCCCGCTCATTCTTTCGCCGAAGTTTCCGCTTGATCTGTCCACATCGTCTTCTCGCAAGTAAGCACCTGACTCTCAGCTTCCGTGTTTTGAGGCGTCCAAACTCTCCCATTCCCTGTCCTGTGCAATTCGCTTTCACTTATGCCGTGCACTGATTCCCCTTCCAAGCCATTTTTCGTAAGTATTTACCGGATGGGATTTCCGGTCGTTTTTTTCCTGGACTTGTTTCCTAGACGTTACCGGGACTGATTGTTTGTGTGTCGTGCGTGTCGTTCCGCTGATCACGGCAGCTCATCATCCAAGCAGACCGGCTCAGAGGCGCCTTCCTCTCTGTCAGAGCGTGGTCAGGCTGACGCTCCCGGCCACCACCAGGAGCAGAAGGAGCAGAACAAGAAGCAGCACACGCAGCATGAGACGCTGCAGGACGCGCTGCAGCACGGCCGGCTGTCTCTGCCTGCCATGGGCACCAGGAGAGCCTCGAGGCTGGGTGAGGGTACTGCGGAGGCGCGAGTGCTCATTGCTCTGCGGGATTCTCTGGAGATGGTCGAGAGCGGTTTGGAGCGGTTGATGGATCAGGAGCAGATTCTGCAGCAGCAGCTGCAGCTGGAGCAAGCTCAGCAGCCGCGGGAGATGCAAGAGTGGGGGCCGGGAGAGCGGGTGAAGCACCCAAAGAGCCATCATAGCTGGGAATTACGTGGAGGGGAACGCGGAAGAGCAGCGGCGGACGCGCGCGGAAGAGCGGTGACGGAGCTGCAGATGGCGCTGCGCGTGGTGTGGTCGCAAGGGGAGAGCCACCACGGCCGGGAGGAAGCGGTATGGCTGCTAGCCTGCATAGCACTTCGTCTGCTCCTCTTTCCATCTCTTTTGTTGTTCGTTTGTTTCCAAGCATCATCCCATGTGCCCTGCTTGCTTTCTGTGTCATGTGTCCGAACCTCCTCATCTGCTTCACTTCGTGGCCAGTGTGTCTTGAAACTTTTCCTTCCTTTCCTGATCACTTCCATGCATCAACTCAATTCGCCACTCCCAACCCCTCACGTCATAACCCGCCATTCAATTCTTGCCTCTGTGTTGTTTCTTCTGTCTTTCCCAACCCTTCAGGTGGTGAGGGAGTTGCTTCACTTCATCGCCAGTGTCGCCCAGATCCTACCAGGAGCAGACATCCCTGTAGCAGAAGAAAGCCCTGCACGACACAATGCCAAGCAGTCCTCTGGACGTCTGGTTACCACAACAGCACCGGCTGTTGATGCTGCTCCTGGCAGCGGCTGTAGCAGCAGCAGCAACAGCGAGAGCAACAGGAGGAGGAGAAGCGGAGTATCCGCGACTAGGCCGTCACAGTCGCACAAAGCTGTTGATACTGCTGCTGGCAAGCCCTCGTTTCCTTCCCGCTCTCCCTCCTCCTCTGCCTGCTCTGGCTGCTCCGCACACTCCCCACACACCCGGCGTTCCCAGGGGAACACGCTCAGCCCTCGCAGCCCCCATTCCCGTTCTGCTCATACCCATCATTCTTCTCAAACACGCCACTCTTCTCACAGCCGTCACTCTCCTCAGAACCGTCACTCTTCTCAGACCCACCATCCCGGTCCGGCCCTGCTGTCTCCTCATTCCTGTAGTAGGGACAAACGCGACAGTTCTAGTAGCTCCGATAAGACCAACCCAGTCGTCCACCCTAACTCGTTGGTGACTTTCTTGGCACAGCAACAGCAGCAACCAGGCCGTGCAAAGAGCAACCATAGCACAAGGAGAGGTGACAGCGGCAGCAGCAGTGGCAGTGGCAGGGGCAGCGGAACTGGCAGGAGCAGTGGCAGTGACAGTGGTTGCAGGAAGAACAGAGGCAATAATGATGGCGCAGATGGCACAGCTCTCAATAATATGAGGAGCAAGGAAGCAGATCTTCGTAACAGTCAACGCAAGTCAAACACATCTGCTGACGTCACACCTCTTTGTTCCACGTCACCCATTTCCACGTCATCATCTCCCCCCTCACCTTCACCTGAAGGCTTCCCCTCGCCTCCGCCGCTGCTGCTGATTGATCAGGAACAACCGAAGGAGGTGGAGGAGGAGGAGATGGGAGCGGAGGAAGTAGTGAAACCAGCAGCTGGAATAACAATTGCTGATGATGCCTCTGCAATCATGCACGTCTCGCCTGCTGCTGCGGCTGCTGCTGCCGCTGTTGCCATTACCAGTGCTTCAGCTCTTGATTCCCCTGACACCTTCTCATCCACTTTTCCTGCTCCTTCTGCATCTGCTCCGGATCCTCTAGCACTAGAGCCTCCCTCCGTTTCTTCTGCCTCGTGCCTGGTCCCCCTGCCTCTGCTGCCACTGCAGCGCCTAGCCCATCCTTTCCTGAACAATAGCTTCCGTCTTGTTGACGCTCTTACGGGCGGCATG